AGGTTAGAGCAGCTAAGACAACCCTGTGGGACTCAGTTTACCCTGCAGCATCTGGGGTCACTAGAGCTATAACACAGCAGAGAAAAACCAACTTCCACAGAGGATCTCATCTACTGTATAGGGGTCAGGGCTCCTGCACACATTTTGGGGGACACAGTATGATTACTAGCACCCAGTGTAGTTTCTCCCTGGTCCTCTGACCTGGGGCCTGTGGTCCCCATCCTCTGGGCAGCCAGCCGAGGCCCTGGCACCGGAGCCGCCGCTGTGGCCCGGAGCAGACAAGCCGTGCCTGCTGCAGTGTCTCTGCAGCCTTTATGGGCGTGTTTCTCACACCCTGTGCTGCTGTTAAAAATCCAGCTCAGCCGGCGTCAGTGTCTGCAGACTTCGGGACCCGTTTCCTCCTCATAAGCGTCTGCGCTGCTGGTTTCCTGAACCTCAAAAGACGAAGTCTCCTGAGGCTCCTGTTACGGATTTCACGTTTTGCACCTCCCCTCCCCATCTCCTGTTTTGGAAGAAAATGACGTTTTCTAGCTTGGTCTTTTTTCTGTGTATATGGACGACAAATTCTCTGCTTGGGAGCTGCTGTTCGAGAACCACCGTAGATTCTGACCCAATATAACAGAGTAGGGTTTTCCAGGCTATCAGACTTTATGGAAGTAGATTGCCAAGTCTTTCTCCCGTGGAACACTGTGTTTGTTCAAAGCACAGCCCTGTCAGTTAGCGGCTGTTTTCCCTGCCTGGGAAACTCCACGGAGGAGCAGCGCTGCTCGGTCCTGGTGGAGATGCTGTTGTGTGCTGTCACATTGGAACCAGCTCATAGCTGATCCTCCAGCAGGCTTTCAGAGTTGGCAAACTGCCCATCTTTCTCCAGCAGAACAAAGGTTGGATCCAAACTGCATGCCTCTGGATTGGCAATGCAATTCCTCACCACTAGGCCACCAGCAATCTGCCTGTAGAGTTAGCTGGGGTGAATCTTGGTGTTGACGGTAATGTTTTTAATTCTTTTTTTTCTTTTTTTATTTTGTTATTTTTGTGTGAGTGTACCGTCAAATCAGATCTGACTGGTACAGGAGGAGATTGTTCCTCCTTCCCCGGCAGAGCATCTGGTGGATTTGAACCGTGTGCTTCTGGGATTGTAGTTGCAGCTCCTTGCCACTAGGCCACCAGAGCTCCCCTGGTTTTAATTCTTAAGGTGTAGGTTGCCAAGCCTTTCTCCCTCAAAGGTGTTGGTGGATTCAAACTGCCAACCTGTTGGTTAACAACTGAACACTTAAGCCTTTTGCTGTCAACCATTGACCCAGGGGGCCCCTGGCATCACCCAGCATTTTCTGCTGTTGCATTATATGAGCAGCCACCATACGCAACCCTGCACTGTAGAAGCTAAATGGGCCAGCTCAACTCATTTTCCAGATTTGAAAGTTGAGGCTGAGAGAGAAGCCTGCCAGGGTCACAGGCTTTAGACAGAGCCTCAGGGGCTAATTTCTACTTCAGGAGACCTAGCACTGCCCTCCTGCCCTTCCACCTGGGGCCCCCACGGTCACACTGTGAGGCCACAGTCTCTGCCCCAGCGTCCTCGTACACCTCCACTTAATGCCTGCGCAGTGGCCTCAGCACTTTTCAAACCCTTTAGGGAAAAAAATCGCAGACAGATCCCTTGATTCAGCACCCGGCTGGCCTGACTGTGTGTGTCTGCACAATCAGTGGAAAGAAAAGAAGGGGGTTTTGAATGACAGATTAACTGGGTGGGAAGGAAGCACGGGTTTCCTGTTCTCCCCCAGACGCCCTAGAACAGCAGCCGCAGATCTGAGAAGGGAAACCGGGAATGGAGCTTGGGGGCCTTGGCGGCCACAGCAGCTCATTTGACAGGAGCAAACTGAGGCTGCAAAGCTACCTGGCTGTGACGCCTGGCCCAGAGCCGAGGGCCCGACGCCCTGGCTGGAGCCGTCATCTGCTCCGAGCGGTCTGTTGTGTGCCGTCGACTGGAACCCTGTGAGTCGGAACTCGTAGACAGCTCACCCTGTGGAAGGTTCCAGGGGCAGTAAGTCCTGCTGGCTGGATGCAGGAGTGGCATCCACTTCCTAAACAACAAATCAATAGTTGTAGAGGGTCTTGGAGCCTTTTGTTCATAGGGTCACTATGAGTCGTTCCTGACTCGAAGGCAACCAACAACAACAAATCATACTGAAGATTTCCCAGCTCTACTGCATTGAATTCATATTAACTGTGAATTCATTGTTGGTTTTAGGTGCTGTTGAGTCAACTGTGACCCGTGGTGATGCCATGAACAACAGATCTGAACCCTGTCCTACTCTGTGCCATCCTCATCATTTCTGCTACACTCAGCTCTATTGTTATCCTCACTGTGTTGGTCTGGTTTCTTAAGGGTCTTCTCTTTTGCCGACTCTCTACCTAGCCATGCAGGAGGTCTTTTTTCAAAGGCAGGGCCGCACTTGGTTTAACTTACTTGTTTGTGCTTTTGGCAGTCCATAGGATATTTGTTCCTCTTCTCCAGTACCGCATCTCAAAGGCATCAAGTTTTCATCCTTGTTCTGTCATCCTCATTCATTGTCCAGTTTTTAGATGGGAAAGACCATGGCTTGACTCAGATGCACCTTAGTCTTTAAACTGACATTGTTGCTCCTTAGCACCTTGGAGAGGTTCTTGACAGCAGATTTTCCCATTGCAACACATACTTTGACTTCATGACTGCTGATGGGAAAGATGATTATTGTGGATCCAAGCAAGATGAAATCACTGGTAACTTGAGTCTTCTATCTATCATGATATCGATTGGGCCAGCAGTAAGAATTGTTATTTATTGATATTGATATTGATATAGCTATATCTATATTGAAGACTGTAATCTATCTTGAGCTTCTAGAGGAAACATTTCAAGTCCTCCTTGCTTTCAGCTAGCAAGGTGGTGTAATGTGCATAACATAGGTAATTGTGGATTCTTTCTTGAATCCTGGTGCCACGTTCTTCTTTATAAAGTCCAGCTTCTTGAATGACGTGCTCAACATGCAGTTTGATAAGTATGGAGAAAAGATATGACCAAGATGCACAGCTTTCTTGATTCAAACCATCCGGCTTCCCTTGTTCTGACAAAGTAACAGCTTTTTGGTCTAGGTTTAGTTTTCACATGAGCACAGCTGAGTGTTCTGGAATTCCTGTTCTTTTTTTATTTTTTTTTTAAATTCCTGTTCTTCTCAACGTTAGCCATAATTTGTTATGATCCTCACAGCCAAATGCCTTTGTGTCATCAATATACCACAAATAGGCATCCTTCTAGAATTCTCTGCTTTCAGCCAAGATCCATCTGACATCAGCAATGATATTCCTAATGCCACGACCTTTTCTGAATCCACCTGGAATTTCTGAAAGTTCTCTATTGATACATTCTGAGAGTCATTTTGGGATAATCTTGAGCAAGATTTTACTTAACTGTGATATGAACTCAATAGCATTATACTATATATGAAAACAGCAGGGGCCCTGGTGATCTTTTGGAGCAGAGCAGTTGGGAGATTTGAACCACCAACCTTTCAGTTACCAACCTAGCATGTAATGTACTGTTCCTCCAGGACTGCTTGGATAGACTACAGCGTTATGTGACTTAAGGTGCCCGGGGAAGCCGGACATAACGTGTGGCTCACTCGATGGATGTCTTGGAGCTGGGCGTCTGGAGCTGAGCTGCAGTGTCTCCCAGGCGTGGCCGTGTGCTTGATGCGTGCTGAGTGGCACAATGCACGCTGGCAGCTGCCACAGCGGGGTTTGCGTTGAGTTCAGGGTATTGCTGAAAAGTCAGCTCCCATCAAGCCCTGGGACTTTGAGGGGACAGCAAGTCTCCCTTCTCCAGACTCCCCACCTCCCCTCACAGAGCCAGGGCACCCACACACGTGGGCTCTGGTTTGAGGTGAGGACAGAGGACACTGCCCCGCGCGATGAACTGGACTGATGGCAAAGTCAATTTCTCCGCCAGCCCGCCCGCAGAGAATGCCGTTAAAGATGCCTCCTGGGCCTTGCGGACGTTCTTATTGATCTGCTGTGGTTTGTAGCCATAAAACAGCCATAAATGAGAGGGCTGAAATGAAAACAGCGGGCTGCTCAGCTCCTGCCCTCCCGGGGGCCCTGGACGCAGCCAGCAAGGCCTCTGCAGCAGCCGGAGCTGAAATAGGGACCTGCAAGGGGGGACATTGATCCTCTTTTGCTCCAAAGGGGCCGTTTACTCCTCACAGCTGGGACCCAGCCTCCATCCTTGGGAAGGATCCTGGGATCACACCGTTGCCCGCTGCACCCACTGCCCAGTGGTGTTTGCCGCCGTGTTGAAGCTGATCCTTGCTAAGCTCTTTGCCATGATCATTTCCTAACTGTCTCTTTCCACCCCTGCCTTTTCCTTTTTTCATTTTTCCTCCGTTTTTCCTTCTGCACTCCACAGAGCTACTGAAATTCTACAAATGTTTGTCAGATTAACAAAGGAATGGATGAAGATGTTTCCTTAGGTTGCACTGTCACAGTAGAAAGACAGAAAAGCACATGGAAACTGTATTACCAGGGACATTGGGTTCAAGAACTGTGATTTTTTAAAAAATCTGCTTGAGTGTGACATGAATGATGAACTATTAACCAGAAAGTTGAAGGTTTGACTCTACCTGGAGGTGCAGTGGAAGAAAGGCCTGGTGACACCTGTCTTATTAGAGACATTTTAATGCATCACTGTTTGTCCCAGTAGCTCAACCAAAAGCATTTCCTGTCCAGGTGCTGGTGACTCACGGCGCCCCCATGTGTGTCTGAGTAGAACTGCGCTCCGTAAGGTTTTCAGGGGCTGATTTTTGAAATGTGGATCGCAGGTCTTCAGTGGTCCTCTGAGTAGATTCAGATTTACTATCTTTCCGTTCCCAAGTAAATCCTCGCTAACCATTCACCTCGCTCGGGGACACCCATCAGCAGTGACTAGCCCAGCCATCTGACCACCACCCTTTCTCTGCTTTCTCCTCTAGAGATCCGAGAGGCCTTTCGCGTTCTGGACCGAGACGGGAATGGCTTCATCTCCAAGCAGGAGCTGGGCATGGCCATGCGCTCGCTGGGGTACATGCCCAGCGAGGTGGAGCTAGCCATCATCATGCAGCGCCTGGACATGGATGGTAAGGCTTGGGGGACAGCCCCCCATCTGCCCGGCTCTCCAGGGAGCTGGGCCTGCAAAGGCCCCAGGCTCGCGTCCTGGTTACACTCAAGGGGCGGAGAAGGCCTAGAGCAGGTTTTCCCAACAGCAGTCCCTGCCCTGGTGAGAGAGGGCTCTGGAACCGCTGCGGGGGCTGGGGTTGGAAATGGGGTGCCTGGTGGAGCCCTGGCATCCCATCTTTTTTCAGCTGATATTTTTCTTCTTTTTTTTAAAAAAAAAAACTTTATTGAGACAGAATTCAGGTATACAGTGAGTTAGAGTGTAAACTCAGGCTTTTAGTCTATTTGTAGATTTGCACGATCGTTGGTACCATCTTAGGACATGATCCTCATCCTTTGAAGGAATCCTGACACTCTTTGTCATCATGTCCCTTCCCCTCCAACCCTGGTGCCCGGGTCTTTGTGCCCACGGCTCTTGAGTCCATTGTGACTCCTGGAGCGCCTGCAGGGTAGGGGAGCACTCACTGCCCCATGAGTTTCTGCAGAGCTTAGGGAGGCAGCCAGCCAGGCGCGGAGCGAGGGAGGCTCACACTGTCCACCTCTGGGGTTGCATTCGAGTGCTTTGCCTTCTTTCTTTGCGGATTTTCCACTTCTGGACGTTTGACGGCTATGGAATTTTGGGCACCTCCTTGTGACTGGCTTCTCTGGTTCATCATGCTTCCGAGTTCGCCAGTGTGGAAGCACCCACCCACCAGCTTTTCATTTCCTCTTTATTTCTGAATAATATTCCATTGTCTGGATACACCACATCCCTTTGAGACAGTTCTGACTGCTGATGGCCGCACATGAGTAAACACAGTTGTTTTCTGTAAGACTGTAATAGCTGAGATTTCAGAAACAGTCGGCCAGGCCTTTCTGCCCTGGCCCTTCTGGGTGGACCTGAGCCCCCGCCGTGAGCGTAGCTTGCCGAGCGTGGTGAGCGTTTGTACACTCAGGACTCCACCGTGTGGCTGCACAACTCTGTCTCACGTACGGGCAGACCTCGAGTCGTTCTGCTCTCCTGAGCTGCACACATACTGCAGTTTTCACAAACGGAAAGTCCGTGGCCGTGCTGCCCTGAGCATATCTCTCAGCACTTAGGTATCTGTTCCATTTTGGTCATTCTTAGAATAATTCCATTTTTCTTCATCATATGATTACACACTTATGGGATTGCAGCACGTGTCAGGCATAGTTTTATATGCTCTGGGAAACAGACAGAATTCATGTGACTGGAGCTCTGGTGGCTGGTGGTGAGGCACGAGCGTGGTTCGAATCCACCCACTGCTCCTCAGGAGGAAGGCGGGCCGTCTTCTCACGTGCAGTTTGCAGCCTCTGAGAACCCACTGGAGGGTCAGCCACGAGACGGTTCTGACGGGACGGGGCATAACAGCAGCAATGACTCGATTGCCGTGCTCAGGAAATGCGCGTGCAGTGGGTCCCAGCTGCTCCTGTCCGGGCTCTTTCCACGTTACCTCCCTGGGGAGAAGGGGTTTGCTGGTTTTTCCATATATTCTATATTTTAACATTTTCTTAAGGTGATTTAAGTGAAAGTTTATAATGTATATATTTTTTAATTGATCATATGCATCTCATTTTGTAGCATTAAATACCCATGATGTCACATCATCCACTTGCAATAATGAGCTGTCATCTCACTGCCTTTTAAATGTTCTGAAAACCAACTGTGTTAGACAGTGCTTAGGGCACAGTCCTGTTCTCAGCCCCTCAGTGTCCATCCCGAACCACTGGAGCGTGAAGTAGTTGACCAAGTGAGAGGAAGCAGGGGGTGGGGCTGGCCAGTCCTTCCGGAGACTGGACCAAGGTCATGGTGGGGCCGCGTATGCTGCGTCTCCAAGATGACTTGGAGAATGTAGGTCTCTCCTGTTATCAGGCTGGACCTGCTAAAAAGATGGACATAGGGGCCCATGTGGGGCATGAACCCCAGTACCAAGCACCAAGTGGGTTTATAGATAGTTATATTCAAGTTCACAAGAGAGGTGCTTTATCAGGGGTCCTCCCTCAGTGGTGTGGGCAGCCCCAGCTTTGCCCTTATAACTCTGATTGACGGCGACTCAACTGGTGGCCTGTTCGACCTTGCCTCACATTAGAGACGTATCTGAAAAGCTGGAGGAAAACACACATTCCTCACCGCCCTCCGTCTCCCACCATCATCTCAGAGACACCTATCTAGACAGAAAGTCTCTTCCTTAAGTGATAGAAATCTGACTATGGAACCAAGAAGGTCTTGTGCTTTTGAACTCTTGAACCATTCCCGTAATAAAACGCAGTCAAGTGCACTAAGAACAGCTGAGATGATAAACAACGCAACCCATAAGAGCAGATCCTACCGCAGGGAAGCAGGAGGTATTTGGTGGCTGAGTGATAGAATTCTTGTCTTGAATGCAGGAGACCTGGGTTTGATTCCTGCCCAGGATACCTCATCCTCACCTTCCACTAGTCTGCCATAGAACTTCCGTTGTCTGATGCTTTGACAGTAGATCTCCAGACCTTTCTTCCTACTCCATCTCAGTCTGGAAACTCCACTGAAATCCAGTCAAGCATCATAACAATGCCCAAGCCCCCACTGATAGATGCTTGGGGGCTGTGCGTGAGGTGTGTCTGCTGGAACTTGAACCCAGTTCTCCCACGTGAAAAGTGAGAGCTCTACCTCTGAACCACCAATGTCCCCCAATCTAGTAGACTTCCTTTGGACTGTGCTTCCTTCCTTTAAAAGTTGTTTTTGTTGTTGTTATGTGCTGTTGAGTCGCTTGCGACTCATAGCGACCCTATGTATAACAGCCCTAAACCCTGCTCTGTCCTGTGCCAATCGCACTGCCTCTGACACTCCCATCCTGATTACCCCAGTCACTGAATCAATCCACCTCATAGAGGGCCTTCCCCTCCTGCGCTGTCCCTCCACCTTCCCAAGCATGATGTTTTTCTCCAAGGACCGGTCTCTTCTTACAACATGTCCAAAAATCTGACTACTTATGAAGAATTTGCAATAGAACATTTGAAAATAAGGCAGGTTGAAAGAATAACCTTCCCCAAAGGACTGAAGGCATGGAATGGGCTGGGTACTCGGCACCCTGTCTGAGGTTGGACGCATGTCTGTGTTCTGTGACGATACTGGTACAGGGCATTCCAGCATGCCAGGGCCTGGGGCTCGAGGCTTTAGTGAGCTCATGCAATGCCTCTCTCGTGTTCCTCTCTTAATGGGGCCCCTTTGAACTGTTCTCTTGAAAAAAAAAAATCAGGTTCTAATTATATCCTTCCTTGCTAGCTTCTGTAACCGGGGAGCCTCCGTAGAGACTCAGCTCTACCTAATTAAGTTTCTCTCTGGAGTGAAAAATGTGGAGAGGCAGAGGTTTCTGTGGGGAGGATGCCAACATAAAGAAGAGTGGAGCAGAGTAGAAGACCCTGAGGTCTATGAGGACCACAGATCGCGGCCCCATCCCTCCCAGCTGGGCTGGTTCTGCACAGTCCTGGCCCACACACGCCGGCCTGTCCCCAGGCCAACGATGAGGTCATCCCTTCTGCCTGGGGCCAGCTCCTAGCAGCCAAGTGGGCGCATGAGGCTTTCATTAGGGGCTGCGCCTGGAACAGTCCCCGCCTGGATTAGGGAGGATTTCCTGGCCCGGATGCCTCGGGAGCCAGACAGTGCCGCTCCTGTGTGGACCTCATTTTCCTGGGACAGACGGGAAGACAGGAAGTGGGCTGGGAGTTGCTCTCCTGGCCTGGGACCAGTTTGCCACCAGGGCTGGAGCTGTGTGTGTGCCTGTGCTGGTGCACATGTACACGTATGTCCGTGCGTGTGTTCATCTGTGTGTCCATGCCTGTGTGCTGAGTATGTGTGTGTATAGGTGCATACGTGTGAGTGTGTGTCATGCGTATGTGTATATCTTCTGTGTGGATCCATGTGCATGCATGTACACACCAAATACACTATGCACTTGGATGTAAACCGAGAAGGCAAACATCTGCCCGAGGTGTGGGGCCCCCAGTGAGCCTCCTCCCTGCACAGGTCCTTCCTGGAGGCGCTCGCCCCGCGTCCCTCCTCTTCCACATGCGCACAGGGCTCCCGGGTGATGCGCACAAGCTCAGCTCCTCACTGAGAGGTCGGCCTGCAAGTTCACTCAGGGGTCCCGTGGACACCTCGTGCATGAGCTGCTCAGTCAAGGCCATGGTCTTTGCCCTCTGCTCTGCTCTGCACACACAGTTTCACCAGGAGGGGGCACAGACTGGATGCAGCTGCTTATTTTTGTCATGCTCACTGCGTCTTCCCCTGCAGCTGAGGTGGGTGCCTTGTCACCTGTAGGGACCAGCTCCCCTTCCTACATGCTTCTTCTGCCCACATGCTTTCCCAGATCTGCGCCCTGCCCAGCCCTCAGAGTGCCAGCCTTGTCTGCCAGGCTGTGCACTGTGGAACCTGGTGCCGTGGCCTCCCGTACAAGCGTGACTCACCCATCCTGTGCATCAGTTATGTGTCTTTATCAGAAGGAATGGTAAAAAACAGCCACTCAAATTACCATCTCCAAGGTTTAGCTCATTAGATCCAGGCCCAGGAGCCGTGGTGGTGCAGGGGCTAATGCAGTGATGGGCTGTTAATCCAAAGGTGGGCAGTTGGAACCCAGGCACTCTGAAGGACAGAGCCACAGCGGTGTGCTCCCATTAAGGACCGATGGATTGTTCTCTTGGCTGTCCGTGGATTATTCTGCCTTCTTTGCCAACACCTCAGCTTTTGTGAGACAGAATGCTCGGTTCCCTCCTGCTCACCCACCACCAACCAGATACAGATCCACCTGGTGAGAGGTGAGAGCAGGTGGGTTGCTTTTTATAGCCTCCAGCAGAGGTACGCAGACCTGACGGTGCACCAGAAACACATGGGCACTTGTTAGAAATTCACGCCTATGGAGTCGGCGTCCTGGGGGCAGGGCCCATGAGCTTGTGGCGTCAGCGTCCTCTTGTGAGTATGGTGTGG